CTAGAAGCTTGGGTGATAGAGCTGAGAATGCTCATACGCTCCTAATTCTCTCTAATGCACCAGTTCAAAAGCTTTGACAGTAACAATCCACAAATTATACTTGAATATGCTGTCTGAAGTTTCGGGATGTTAGCAGCTAGGGAGGTGAGTTCTTTATGCTTAGTGATGGATAAGCCTTTATTCATTTCTGGAATTAACACTGATAAGTATTCTCTACAGCAGTGGTCCCCAACCTTTTTTGCACCAAAGACTGGTGCTCCTATGAGACTCTAATTCCTGATGATCTGAGGTGGAGCTGAGGTGGTGATACCTACACTAGGGGGTGGCTGCAAATACAGATGAAGCTTCACTCTCTTGCCCACTGCTCACCTCCTGCTATGTGGCCTGGTTCCTAACAGGCCATGGTCCGATACCAGTCCGCAGCCCAACGGGTCGGAGACCCCTGCTCTACAGAGTTCACTCTTCTGTCTTCCAAAGAGATTATAAACTTAGACTTCTCTGGACTTCCTCGCAAGATCTAGTACCTAAATGCTGTAGTATCTTTTCTCTGGGAAGCACATGTATTGTGTTTTCAGTGAAATGCAGAAGAGATTTCACAGGGTGAGCCCTAACATATTCAGGATATAGGCAAATAAAAATTTTAGTAAAAATGTAAAATGCAGCCTTTAAAGCCACTGCTCGAATTTCACTTGGTGGCTCCAGGGATCATTTGCAACCCAGCTATATGATATGGAAACGAAATCATAGGCTGATTTCAAAGATTCGTGTTTGCAGACTTTTATTTGCAAGATTGATTTAAAGTATAGTAATTCAAAATGCTTTTCTTGAGCACCTCATGAGTTTACTCAGGAGAACCAATCATCTTCGTTTACCCCAGACTGAAGGGGTTCCCCGGACATGAGACTTTAGTGCTAAAAGTGGGACAGTCTCAGGCAAACTGGGAGAAGTTAGTCACCCTAAATTCAATGCTAAGATCCAGAGCATGCGTGTTTTTTTGTATTCTTTGGGGATTTTCCAAACCCAGGGGAAAGCTTATTGAGGGTATGTTATTGATGAGTCTACTACTAATGCACTAAGGTAGTAGTAGCGTTCTGTTAAGTAGATGCGTTCATTTAATGCTATTGAGTTCCTAGTATTTGCCGGTGCTATTCTAAGTATTAGGGAGCTGTTCAGAAGTAAATAGAACTGAGTCTTTCTTCTAATGGAGCTTAAATTCTAGTAGGGGTGGACATTCAACCAATATATATTCTTCGAGTGACAGTAAGTATTATGGAGAAAAATAAAGCCAGATAAGGGAGATAGGAAGTGTTGGAGATATTCAAAACCTTAAGATCAATTAAAGGGTTGG